CCGCCCCACAAAGCAGCTCAACCCGCTTCTGGCCAGAGACGCAGAGACGCAGAGACAACAGAGTGCTCATCACGGTGCCCGCCCCCTCCCGACCCCGAGACAGCAGACACAGCTCCCGGCTCCTGCCCGGTCTTCTCCCTCCCTGCCCCTTAACCCTTCCTCCCGGGCTGTGCTCTCAGGTCCCTCGCCTTTCAGACTCAAGTGTGCTCCAGGCTAAGCTCGGACTCCACTGCTCCAAAAGCAGCCCCCCCGCCCATGCGTGGGGCCGGCCTGGGAAGGGAGCAGAGGGGCCCCGGTCGTTGTTCCTGACACTCTAAACACAGATCTGCCGGACAGTACTGCACTAAGCATTTGTTGGCATTTTACTCAGGTAAGCCTCCTGAAACAGGTGAGGCAGATTTTGTCATGAAGCCCATTTTCCAGATGGGAAACACGGAGGTGAAGGGGCATCCCCAAGGGCTGCCGGAGTTCAAACCGGGGTCTCTGACTTCAGGGCTCTAACTCCCCCCCCCACCGCAGACTGTCTCCTCTTCCTCTGGAGGCCCCGCTGCCCCCACCCAGGTCAAGGCCCCTGGAGCAGCAGCAACAGCTTAATGGGCCCACAGAGCCATGGAAGAGTTACTGCAGCTATTAAATCTTGCTGACCCGAGATTTTTGTTTCTGAACAGTGGTTCTCAAAGTTGATCTGTGGACCCCTGGGAGTCTGCAAGGTCAAGGCCATTTTGATAGCACTAAGACATTATTCGCCTGTTTCACTGTGCTGACATTTACGGGGAAATGGTGGGCTGACTTGCCGGCCCTCCAGAGTAAACCGAGGCAGCAGCACCAAGTCCTAGCAGGTGTCACACTCAGTTTTAAAAAAAAAAGGCCAATTTCACTCCCAAATGTTCCTGGTTCTTGAGTACCTTTGTATAGAGCTTTGTATGACGATGTGAGAGGTGTGTGTAAATTCGATCATCTTTAAGAAAGGCACGTGTGTGAGTACTTGAGCTCCAAGCTGAACTAGCCGCTCGCTTTCTTCATGGGGCACCGTTTTACTGGAAAGAATGGCCAACAGATGAACTATGGTTTTTCTGATTTGGGAGTCGGGCAGATATTTTCTCAAAAACAAAGCCTGTCACTTCAAGGAAAACTGAGGGTATTTATTGGCAATGCTAACGTTCAGGTTCTGCAGCAAAAACCAGAACCTGGGAAAGCGCGTACTCTGAGCCAGACGGCCTCCCACCCTTCTTGGCCTGTCCGACGAGATCAGTCATGTCACTAACAAGTACAATTGTACAATTGCGGGGGGGGGCTGTAAGAGATCCAAACGTGGCAACACTGAGGAGACCCGTGTCACTCAGGAAGCGACGTGTCCCAGACCACTAGTGCCCGACGAGGCAGAACAGTGCCCGGGGGAAAGAGCCGCTCCGGGTGCAGCACAGACCGTGGCTTTACCGCAGCAGAACACCCTGCCCATTGCTAAGGTTTCACGCTCCACACCGCAACTAACCAACCTTCGGAAAACGACCTCTTTTAAATTTTGATGAAGTATCAAAGAATATCCACAAGTACCTGGATAGCTAATAAAATGTTTGTGTCAAATGATCTGTGTGAGGATGGAGCCTCTTCAAATATCCGAACCACAGCGACACCGCACCTGACTGCAGGCGGCAGTTACGAGGGCCTAGCTTTGCACTAAGATAAACATTAGACATTAAGGAAACTTGTAAATTGGTAAAACGATGCCTTTCTTTGTACGTTTTTAGAATAATACTATTTTTCATTAAAAAGTTATGTTAATATATAGCCCTGGCTGGTGTGGCTCAGTGGATTGAGCGTGGGCTTGTGAGGTAAAGGGTCGCTGGTTCAATTCCCAGTCAGGGCACATGCCTGGGTTGCGGGCCAGGTCCCCAATGGGGGACACATGAGAGGCAGCCACATGTTGATGTTTCTCTCCCACTCTTTCTCCTTCCTGTCCCCTCTCTCTAAAAATAGATAAATATTTAAAAATAAATAAATAAATAAAAGTTTACGTTAATATATAATAGGTTGGTTATTTAAAAATAAGCATTGATTTTTTTCAGTTTTTTTTTAAAGAAATACTTGACTAATTGAGGCTTACCGATCTTATTTATTTATTTACTTATTTAAGAAGGGAAGGGAAGGAGAGAAGGAGAGAAACATCAATGTATGGATGCTTCTGGTGCATCCCCTGCTGGGAACCGGCCTGCAACCCAGGCATGTGCCCTGACAGGGAATTGAACTGCGATCTTTTGGTTCGCAGGCCCGCGCTCGATCCACTGAGCTACACCAGCCAGGGCTCAGTTTTAACTTCTAAGAAAATGTCAACAGATAAAACCAAAATGAAGAAACACTCTTTGAGATTACAATTTTAATTATGTAGAGAAACCCAAACCCAGTTCTGAGAACTGCTCTGGCAGAAGGAAAAGCTGAAAAAGCCGCAGTGGGAAGGAGCGCGCTCCATCTCGTGGAAAAGACGCCCGCAACCCCCACCGTCCACTAACAAAAGAGACGACTCCCTCTTGTCAGAAACTTCGAGTACTTAAGGCAGAAATATTCGAAACCAGAGGTATAGAATACAAACCACAGCGGGTAACTTAAATTTCCCAGCAACATTCCAGAACAGAGGGCGGCCGGGAGGGCAGGCTGGTGTCGGCTCAGGCTGGAGGGGAAGCCAGGCCCTGACCGAGGGGAGGGGCCCAGACGGCTCATGCTGGGGACTGTTTTCAGTCCTCAGAGACATCGCGGGGATTCACTGTCTTTATGTCGCTGGGGGGTCTCTCCAGCTGCTGGAGATCGGGGAGCATCCGCACTGAGCTCCCTCTGACCCCCTCCAGGCTCACCCTCCAAAATAAATATATCAAGTTACCTGGGGGGCTGGACTTTGTGTTCTGATTTCTGAGGGCTCCCCTGCAGGGACAGAAATTGTTCCCTAGAAACTTTTCATTCCAGACTTGAACTTCAAACAACTGAATGGCAGGGATGTAAAGTACAGCACAGGAAATGTAGTCAATACTGTAATAACTGTGTGGTGCCAGGTGGGTATTTTGTAGAGTACATGAGTGTCTAACCACTATGCTGTACACCTGAAACTAATACTGAGTAATAATGAGCATAAAATGTAACTAAAAAATAAAATTAAAGAAATACAGCCCTCGCCGGTGTGACTCAGTGGATCGAGTACCAGCCTGCAAACCAAAGGGTCACCGGTTCAATTCCCAGTCAGGGCACATGCCTGGGTGGCAGGCTAGATCCCCAGTTGGGGATGCGTGAGAGGCAACCACACACTGATGTTTCTCTCCCTCTCTTTCTCCCTTCCTTTCCCTCTGTCTAAAAATAAGTAAATAAAATATTTAAAAAAAAGAAATGGAGTAAATCACAACAGTCAAGGAGCAAGTATAAACAACACATGTTTCCAACCTTCTTATGAGACAGAGAAAGGGCAGGCTGAGCACAAAAGACACATTAACGAACTTCCCAGTTCTGCCCCCCAACCCCCGGGATGCTTCCTTTCTCATAAAGGCGTGTCACTAGCTGGGGATTTGCTGTTTGAATCACTGTATTCCAGAAGGGGTGACGCTCAGGTGCACACACCCTGCTCTTCAGCTGACCTCCCCAGGAGGCTCTAGCTTGGGCAACATCTGGCAACCACACACACACAAAAGCTCCAGGGCCCGAAACCATCCCTGCCTTTTACCACACAGTCCCGACACCGAGATGGCTCCTTAGGCTTATTGTATGCACAGGCTCCAAGGCCTGTACCCCAAATACTTAGACAGAAGCCAAATACCGATACTACTGCAAGGCCAGGCAGAGCTGTGACCTTCCTTCCAGGTCACAGGCCTACCTCCAGCTTGGACAATGGATCCTGGGTTCCTCAGGTTCCTCGCCAGGCACAGAAAGGAGCCTGCACTTGTTGTTCCTAGGATACAGTTCCCCCTCTTGTGCGCTGATGCTAAAACACCCTGGTAAAGTGCTTCCTTCTCGGCATCGTCCACAGCCTCTCATGGGTTCAGTTTAGGACTTATACGTAGTTCTATCCAATCACAGAATTAGTTCCAACATGAAAGAGCTCATGTGCATTTTCAAACACACTACCACTTTAGATACTGACTGGGTACAATTCTCCTAAATTCCACTGGGTCACCTTGAAGGCCTCCACTGGTTTTAAGGCAGTTTTTTAATCACAAAATTTGGGCCCCATTCCCCATGTGTAGCGGGATGCAATCAGTCTTCCTCTTTCAAAGGGGGGGTGGGGTGGGGGTGGGTCTGTCCCTACGGAACATTTCCCTGACAGGCGCACTTGCTCTAATGCCCAGCACAGAGTCAGAGTGCAACAATCCTCTGCAGCACAGCGTGGGCAGTCCTTAACCTGCATCACAGTAGGGTTGAGGAGGGTGAGGGGAGGCACTGATTACTCTCAGCTGCTACTGGGATGGAACCAGGAGAACTGGCTACACTGTTCTGAAGACCACTCTGCATGTCCACCCAGAGTGGAAGGGCTGGAGCCTGGAAAAGCAATGATTAGGCTCAGCAGCCCCAACAGCAGGGGGAGGCCCTGTTCCCTCACCCTCTCTGGACCTTCTGCGTTCCCGGACAACCGCAGAGAACCCAGAGTACAGAGGGCGGCCCTCAATGTCTCCTGACTCTGGAAACACTCCCACACGGGCTCCGCGTACAGGGGCAGCGACGCCACAAAGCCCGCCTGAGTGCACAGCACAGGCACAGTGCTGCACTCAGCCGGGCCTCTAGCCTCTCGAGCCTCGGGATCTTGCTCTGTCTTGCTTCCCCCTGGCTGCAGGGCCAGGCTGCCTCAGGACTTACTTATGCCAGAGTGGCCTCCAGGTTGCTTTATGAAACTGACTTCACCCCAGAACATTTACACGTGGGTGCACCCCGTGTCTGCGGGACAGACCTTGACCAGACATATAAACTAAGCCATAATGTTAAAATGCCCTGTTAGCATCCAGCCACCCACCACAGCCAACACCAAATACCTTTGGGTCATCAGCCTCAGGTTTTTCAGTCTCTGAATCGTCATCTTCCTACAAGACAAAGAATTTACAGGATTAAGCTTAAAGGAGTGGGCCTGAGGGTTCTCACATGCATAACTAGGGGTCGGAGCAAATTTACCCGGCCTGGGTCATTCCACCAAGAACCCCTCCCTTCCCCTATGGTCCAGAACTAGAGAAAGAAGGGGAAAAGGAGATGTTCTGGGGGGAAAAGAACATCATTTGGGGGAAAAAGAACAAGTCGGCACTCCAGCAGTACCACTGTCTACACTAATGAAAATGCCTGAGACGAACACATAGAGAAAAATGGAGAAAAGGCAACAAGGAATACGGCCAGGCCCCACAGGGTAGAACACGCATACCGTTTCCAGTGAAGTATCAATTACCTGACACCAGAAACACGAACTCTTTCTCCCTTGCTATTCGCAGATTCGAATATATCCAACTCAGACCTGTGCTGAGCGTGTTCACGGCCAGAACACAGTGACCCCCCACACAGCTGCAGCCTGGCACTTCCACCAAGCAAGGAAGGTCAGCGCCAATGACCAGGGCAAGGGGCACGGGGACGGCACAACTAACGAGCAATGCCCAGCCTCCCCGGGACCCCAGGTAAGGTGCCTCACCTCCACCCGAGTCCTCCCAGACCTGCCACCCACCGCTCCATCCAGCCTTGCTCCTTATCCAAATGGCCTGCCTGGCACAAGGCACCACATGGGCAAGGTGTTCTCCAAGGCACGCATGGGCCTCACAGGTGCTAGCCCACCTTTCCACTGAGTGCTAATGAAGGTCAAAGGTCAGCTCCCCTATCAGGATTCACTCATCTGATCCACTACCCAGAAAACCCCAATGCATGGGAACTTTTAACTTAAAACCCAGGAAAAAGTTAAGTTTCATTTGAAACTGTTATTTTTTCCAATCAAGCTACACTGTCAATTAAACAGCATTCCAGATGTTAACAGAAACACCTGCTGACAGACTTGAACAACCTATTCCGACAGGTTTGAGATTTCACTGTCCTGTAAGGTGTCAGTGAGCCAGAGGTTGTAAAGGCAATCTCCATAGCCTCCTTCAAACGATCAGGCCAAAGATTGTCCCATATCAGAGACACAGTTCAGCCAAATACAACCACATTTGAGAAGGTCTATATTGGAATTTAATGCGAGAATTTCATAAAAACACGAAATAAAGCTTAAATATGATGAAAATCTTAAGGAAAAGAAATACGGAATAACACTTCAAAATACACTATGCAGGTCTACTGAAGAAAATCATTTCGGATGTTAATCCAGAATGCATGCACTTAAAAAAAAAAAAGAGGGAGGGGAGGGGAAGCCAGGAAAGGAACATGACTTTCAAAGCCTTTCTAACCAATTCGTCAGTTCTGCTTTATCAGCGTTAATAGTGGGGGCTAAGGGCATGAAAATATCCTCCCAAAGAGCATAAACTGCACAGCACATTTTTGTTTACTTTGGAAAGCAGTCCAACGATAATATTTAAATATTAACGCATAACAAAGTTTTCAAACCAATACTGGAAGTACATTGACTATTTCAATGAAAGCGACTGCTAAATATCCAGGTTCAACTTTGCACGTCTTTGTACTAAGCACCAAGCGGAATCCTTGTTTTGTCCCCCCCCAGACTTGTAAACTCTGGCTCATGATACATCAGGTGATGTGTCTAAGGCCTTTCTGGTTGAGATGCAAGTTCTCTTTTGTTAGCCACCAGGCATTGAACTTCAGGCAAGATTGGTGGTCAAGAACCAAGGGCACTGGGATAACAAGTGTGAAGTAAAATGTCGAGAAAGAAGTTAAGGATTAAGTCATATATACAATAATAATTTTCCTTCCTAATCTTTTAAATACGCTAAAGATTTAAATGAGCCCCAACCAGTATGAAAAATAATAGTATTGATTGCAGACATAAATGATACACCAATTAGAATGAATACACTATTACAAACAGAATAAATATGACCTAAAAAGGAAAACCACCATAAAACCCTCGCTGATATCTGGGTTAAATAAAATAATTCACTATTTTCCCCAAAAACTTAATTCAAAGGTGAATACAAAATGCTCCAGGTGAAAACAGATTTGACTTACAAACGGAACTGCCACTCTCCGACCCAGTTTCCTTAACTGACACCAAAGAGTGTGTGTGGGGGGGGGTGGCATTAGGTAGGAAAAGGAATGCTGCCGGAACAGTTCAGGAAGTTTCTAACCAATGAAATGGTGCTCTGAGCAGCTGTGGATTCGGGTGCAGATCTACTTACCGACTGTTTGCTGTTCTCATCCTCTTCTTCTTCGTAACCATCTTCATCACCCTCGATACGAGAAAAATCATCCTCTCCGTAGGCTTCAGACACCAATCCACCTTTCTCCTCTGAAACAGAGGGAAACATAAAAATGAATAAATTGGCGGGGGGGGGGAGTGCAAGGAAACCTTTCGGTGATCTGAGTGGCTAGAACTATATCTTAGGATAATAAAGGAACCTGAATCTCATGTTAAATGACTGCAGGTCCCAGACTCTGCTGTTTGAGCACCTCTGTAGACAGTGCTGCGCACACCAGTGACCTCATCTCCTCATCTGAGGACTCTGTCATCCTCATTTCTGTGTGTCCTCCTCTAGGAACAGGACCTTGAACAGGGGGTACTCCACAGGATTCCCAACATACTGGCCGGAGAAACAACCTTTTTCTACGCTTAACACAAAACAAACCACCACCAAGAAAACTCTAAAAACAATATGAATTACTGGGAAACCACACAAAGACCACAAAAAACTGAGCAAAGACCACACAAAACTGAGAGCAGCTAACTTAAGTCCAAGCCCCTCACTTTCCGTTGAGGAAACTAAGACCCAGACATGTTAGTTAATTTACTACCTCTCCACGCTCGCGCATAAATCTGTTCTCACTTCCTAACATCGCGATCCTCATCCTGAGTTGGGCAACAAAATCACTGAGGAGTTTCAACAACTCACAAAATAATGGGATCACCGAGTAGCCTTGTAAAATTCACACATGCCCAGATCTATAGAATTAGACTCTCGAGTCTAGTAGAGACCAGATAGTTTTTTAAAGCTCCAAGATGCGTCTAGGGTACATTACTCGAAAGTTAAATGCAGTAAGACACAACCCGTATCGCCTTCCGCCTACGTTTTGCTCATCTCTCTCTCCCATCAAACATGCTCGGAGAGAACAGGTAGCCAGCCTGCTTCACTAGCCCCGGACCCTCTCCACCCTCTCTGCCCAGCAAGATGCCCGGCACAGAGATTTTCAGTAAATTTTGGCAGGATAATCGAATCAACGGAAAGAGACAATGCATTTTTACCACAAAGCGTCAGCCCGGGACCCCGACGGAGCTTCGGGGCCCGACACTTGGGGGCACAATGACTATCTCTTCCCCCTCCTGCTTTGCCAGGGGAGCAGCGTTAGGAGCAAACACCTGCTTCTCCCCTTCCGCCCCCCGACTCGGGCCTCACCAGCCGCGCTGCCCGCCGTTTCGACGCCAGCCTCGCCGTCAGACTCGGGCTCTGAATCTTCTGCGTACACTGCCAAAGAAGACAGGACATTCTTCTTCCCCGCCATCTTACTCCCACGGCCCCGGTGGGCCTCACTCCCTTGACTACAGAAAGACGACTTCCGCAGGAAAGGCGACTACTTCCGGGTCCCAGGAGAACCCTCGCGGGTTCCAGACCGGGACCCAATCAAGACGGCTGTTTCTGAGCCTGGCCCCGCCCCCTCGGGAAGCACTCTAATACGTCACTACTGCGCGACGGATTCAAGGTTGCTTTAGTTTTACCTGGTAGTGAAGGTCTAGCTGCTCATGTTCTCAGAGTTGGCGGTGGCAAGGGGACACCTCCTGTAGTTCCAGCAGACGTCGACCTCCTCCCCGCACATTGAGTCCTTCGCTCCTGGGCGGCCCAAGGCCGGCTTTGATATCTTGGCGTGGAGAGGGAGACTTCAGCTGAGAAAGGAAGAGAAGAGTGGATTGGGGGCTCCGAGGAGGAAAGCGGAAGATCTCTTCTCTGGGAGTGGGGAAGAAGGGATCGGTCGGGGTCCGGGGGGGAAGAATGGTCGTCATAGCCGTGCTTATAGGAGGAGCAGAAGACGGATCTTAGACGAGCAATTCCACCTTCCCCAAACATTCCGAAGACATTGTGTTCCTTCTCATGATCTGATTTCTGGCTCTGTGCTATATATACTGTGGCCTGGGAGAGTTCAGTTTTTCTTTTCACTGATGTAAAAGTGGAGATGTTAATTACCCAGGAATGTATTGCTTGAGGCCGTTCACCTGGAGGTGTATTACTTGAAGATAATATATTGCTTGACTGTAATACAGCAAATTTATACTCATAGAGAAAAAATAAGCGGTATTTGAATAAAAGCAGAACAGAGGGCTGTTGCCACAACCATATGATCATCACCTTTGCCTTAACCTCTGGCCACCGTCTGTCGCTAAGATGAGCAGCCACCATTCCTCTCGTTTTGACCCTGAGCATCGAGTCCGGAGCACGTTGAAGAAGGTCTTTGGGTTTGACTCTTTTAAGACGCCTTTACAGGAGAGTGCGACCATGGCTGTAGTGAAAGGTAACATTGCAGAGCTGCCCGCGTTTACGTTGCTGGCTATACGGAAGCACTGCCTAGAACACCCTCCTTCTGACCCTTCCTACCTCCCCACCTTTGGCCCTTAATTGGTTTTGGAAATCTTGTAGACTCCTCCCCCAAACTTGCAGTTTTATCGGTGGAGCCACCCAGCTGTTCTGTTTCTTACACTTCGTAGCCAGAGCTACAGATCGTCTTTGAAAACAGTTCAGAGTCCCACTAGTTTGTGTAGGGTTGGCAGAAAGCCTAATCCAGCCACTGATGTAGGTCATCTCTTTGTTAAAGATGGAGTGGCCTGGATCTCAAATAGGGAAGGAAGGGGTAATAATACCATAAACCTGAGATTTGTTGACAAATGGAAGTTGTCAAGAGAGGGGAAGCAGGGTAATATTAATTACACTGTAACATTGATAAACAAGAGACATCTAAGTGATGTTGCTTCCATGTCTACACAGATATGCCCACTCATCTGCAAAGTATTCAGCTTCATGACTGAATACTTGTAATTTAGTTCAATCTTTATATTTTAGATTGAACTAAATTACAATAATTTAGTTCAATCATCCATATCCCAGCCAACTCTGACTTATTAACCTTGCAGTTGTTAGGACCATTGTCAGGAGTGGTTTGTGTGCTTTTCCAAATGTTCCTGTACCCTTTTCATAGAAAGGATGGGATGGGAATTAAGATTATATTGAGAATGACTTCCCCCTACCGCACGCCTGCCTAACTGTGTGCCGTACACTCTGCTAGGGCATTTTCCTACATTCTCAGTCAATTTTCAACAGCCTGGAAGGAAAGAGATAAAAGGCAGGAAGCATTAGGTATTGTCTTGTACTTCTGCAGGTGACAAGGACGTCTTTGTGTGCATGCCCACAGGGGCAGGAAAATCCCTGTGCTATCAGCTCCCTGCTGTGTTGGCCAAGGGCATCACCATCGTCGTCTCTCCTCTCATTGCTTTGATTCAGGTGAGGCTCAGGAGAATGAAGAGGGTACCCCGAGGAGGTTAGGGAAAGGTCGTTTACACCTGGAAATTTCGCTTCTGCTTTCTCTGGTCTTTTGCCTCTTACTTTCCTTGATTTGCTTATCTCCCTTGCTATATTGGGTTTCCAAATTGCCCGTATGTGGACTTCTCCACCAGTGCATAGCACTCGGGTGGATTCTTACTTCCTTTGTTACTTTTTGCCCCGAGGACTGTGGAACTGTATCTGTATACACATGCCCACTCTTGACGGGATAGAAGATGCAGATGGATAGAGAACTAAATTAACAACGGGATCCCTGGTGCCCTCCTCTATTCTGGCAAGGGCACAGCTGTGACAGAAAAGATGAGAGACTTATTGGGATGCTGTTAGCATCTTCTCTGCATTTCTGACTATATTGAAGGCCTGCAGATGGGCTGCTAGGATCAGCAATGAGGAAGTGTAGCCATGTAGTTAAGAGCGATTGACCGTGAAGAAAGAGAGACAGGAAAGAACGGTAACAGTGCTTAGTGCTGGTGCTTTGCTTGCATTAATTTCACCTTTGAGATGTAAAATTTAATTCCTTCAACAGTCCTATTAGATAGTTACTATTTTTATAGTGGCGGGAGTGGGGAGTGAGGAAATTGACAGGTTAAGGTTAAGAGTGAGCCAAGAGCAAGAGGCAGTTACATGAGCCAGGATTACATCCAGGTCTGTGTGGCTCCAGAGCCGGTCCTCCTGGTATTTCTTGTATGCAAAGAGGAGACATATTGGAGAGTAGCAGGGATGTTTAATGGCTGGGAAATACGCCAGGGCTTTGCAACAACTTTCTGAGATCCTGTGGGCCAATGATACTCCCCTCTGTGCCTCTCCCCCTTCTGCCCTCAGGACCAGGTAGACCACTTGCTGGCCTTGAAGGTGCGAGTAAGTTCCCTGAACTCGAAGCTCTCAGCCCAGGAGAAGAAGGAGCTGCTCTTTGACCTGGAGCAAGAAAAGCCCCGTACCAAACTTCTGTACATTACACCCGAGATGGCGGCTTCAGCCTCCTTCCAGCCCACTCTCACCTCCCTGGTGTCCCGCCACCTGCTGTCCTACCTGGTGGTGGATGAAGCTCATTGTATTTCCCAGTGGGGCCATGACTTCCGTCCTGACTACTTGCGTCTGGGGGCCCTGCGCTCCCGCCTGACACATGCCCCGTGCGTGGCCCTGACCGCCACAGCCACCCCGCAGGTCCAGGAGGACGTGTTTGCCGCCCTGCACCTGAAGCAGCCGGTCGCTGTCTTCAAGACTCCCTGCTTCCGGGCCAATCTCTTTTACGATGTGCAGTTTAAGGAGCTGCTTTCTGACCCCTACGGGAACCTGCGGGACTTCTGCCTTAAGGCTCTCGGACAGAAGACTGATAAAGGGGTGAGGCCACCAAGGTGGAGAGGCCAAGATGCCTATGGAATGCTGTCCGCAGGATAGAGATGGCTGTTGGTTTCCTAAGGCCTTTGCTTTTTCCAGCGTCCTTAGTCAGGCTAGCCATAGCTGCTTAAAGCGCGGAGGGTTGTCCCTTTGGCTTTCTGGCATGGTTTCCCCTCCTGCGGTTTCCTTGTCCTGGAAACCTGCTGTGGGAGGCAAACAGCCAGCCTCTGACGGTGGCCTTCGCAGACCTATTCAAGGTTTGAGGGGAGAGGGCTTGGTTTCTGAGCTGCTTTGCTCCTGCTTGTTAGAAAGTGGCAGAGCCTTGCTGGGTGGCCTGCTTCGGAAGAAACTGAAGCTGATGAGAGACAGAGCTGCTTTTAAAGCAGACTGTCTTTTCCAATGATTTTTTTTTCCTCTGTTGTTCCTCTCTTCCCATTCAGTTGTTTTCCGGCTGTGGCATTGTCTACTGCAGGACCAGAGAGGCTTGTGAACAGCTGGCGATAGAGCTCAGTTCCAGGGGGTTGAATGCCAAGGCCTACCACGCAGGTGAGGGCCGCCCAGGCCATGTGGTCCTCTTCACTCTCAGGAGCTCTGAGCGAGAGGCCCTCTGGGTCCTGGAAAGTCAGGTGTTCTGACATCTTTTCTAGATACTGAGGGAGAGCTAAAGTGATTGGTTTAAACCCACAAAAAGGGCGTCCAGACATGAGTGAGGTCTCAAATGAGGCTTGTGACTCCTGAATTCTTTTTCTCGTCCTCTGCGCACCCAGCAACAGGGGATGAGCTTTTTTATAAGCCCATGTATCCATGTTATGCAAAGAGCACAGGCTTTGGAGGCCAGTGGACTTGGGTTTGAATCTCGGCTCTAATGTTCATTGAGTGCCGTGTACCATATACAGGCTAGGGTCTTTACATTTATTAGCGGTTAAGTGGCTGGCCCAAGGTCACGCAACTGGTAAGTAATGAATTCAGGAGTATGTACAGTGCCCAGCATAGTGTCAAACCCAAGACAGGCCCCGAGGGAAACCCTAGGGAAAGGTGAATTCCCATCTCCACCTTTCTCTCCTTTGTAGGGCTCAAGGGTTCTGAAAGAACACTGGTGCAGAACGAGTGGATGGAGGAGAAAGTCCCCATAATTGTTGCAACCATTAGTTTTGGGATGGGAGTGGACAAAGCCAATGTCAGGTGAGCTCTGGTTCTTGTCTAACCTTCCTGATCAGGGCCTGGCTTGGGGGTGGGCTGCCTAGCACTCTGCCAGGAGGACCAGGTCCATGTACTCCTTCTAGGGCCAGCGGGGAATGAGGCCCCAGGAGGGGTGCGTAGCACACAGCCCATGTGCTGACTTTCTGTGCAGCCTGCTCCTGGTGACTGCGCAGAACGGTTCTGCTGTCCCCAGGAGATGGGCAGCAGGCAGACCATCGGGCTCATTCATTAGCACAGCCCCGTTCGCTCACGTCTTAGCAGATGGACCCCATGAGTGTTGGAATGAGGTGTCTTAACCTGCTCCCTGCAGGGAGTCAAGGCAGAGAGCTTGTCCCCATTGTTCCTTCTTCTTGCTGACTGACAGGCGGAGGAGACTGGTGCATCCCAGCCTCCCAGGCCTACCCTGCAGCTGGTAGAAGAGTTTTACCTCCAGCCACTTCTGACCTTCTGGAGACATTTTGGGCTACACCCTGAAGCGCTTTGTTCTGATCGGCACCAACAGTCATGCCTTGTACGATTTATGGAGCACCTTTGTGTACATGGTCTTGCTAAGATTCAGTGACCCTGGGTTGGTCAGGGTAGGAATTAGTGTGTGTACTGCATTTGAGGGAACACAGACTTTGTTTATTTTTATTGAATGTATTGGGGGGACATCGGTTAATAGAAGCATATAGGTTTCAGGTGCACGTTCTATAATGCATCATCTGTGTGTTGTACTGACTGTTCACTGCCTCAAGTCACGTCTCCTTTTGAACACGGACTTTGTCACTGGAGTTTGGATGCTGGGTTTGCTGTGTCTTATTAGGGGCCAACTTTGAAGTCAGACACCCCCAGCTCAAATCCTAGCACTACTGTCCCCTTGCCATGTCATCTTGTACAATTTACCTAAGTCTCAAGTTCACTGTCTCTAAAATGGGGCTGCCTCAAATGATAGGACTGTAACAGTTAAATGAGACAAATACATACACTAGCTCACAGTATTTTTTTTTTTTTAAGGTTTTGCTTATTTACTTTTAGAGAAGGGAGAGAAAGAAAGGGAGAGAAACATAACTGTGTGGTTGCCTCTCTTGTGCCCCCTACTGGGGACCTGGCCCACAACCCAGGCACGTGCCCTGACTGGGAATTGAACTGGTGACCCTTTGGTTTGCAGGCCAGTCATAGTAGGTATTTAATAAATGTTATGCTTTTCCCACTTCAAAGAGATTATAAAAGATTTCTTCAATGTTGCATAGCTCATGAGCGGCCTAGTCTTGTTTAAGCCCAGTATTTTTTCCCCGTGGGACCTCTGACTGTGGGGATTTTTTCTTTCTCACATGTGTTGGACTTTCACCCTTTACTGCTGTGGCCTCTGAACTGGGCTGCTCCACAGCAGGGAGGCCTGCGGGTGGACTGCAGGTGTCCTGGCCATGCCACTCCCTGGGGCCTCTCCCTGCCCTCCCTGCCCGCCTGCCCACCTCTGGTCTCTGTGAAGAGCCCTGCTCCACCCACTCAGAAGCACTCCTCCCCTCAGATCTTCTGCTACATCTCATGCTGCTTGTCCCTTTGGGTCCTACAGGTTTGTCGCCCACTGGAATATTGCCAAATCTATGGCCGGGTACTACCAAGAGTCTGGCCGCGCGGGCAGGGATGGGAAGCCTTCCTGGTGCCGTCTCTATTACTCCAGGAACGACCGGGACCAAGTTAGCTTCCTGATCAGGAAAGAAGTAGCAAATCTGCAGGTGAGTCCGGGGCAGGAGTAGCCCTTTCTGTCCTAAGTCTCTGCTTGCCAATTTCACGCCGCTTATTTCCAAACTCAGGATGATTCTGTAAGCTAGAAAGGGGCTCCTGGGGCTAGACGTTACAGCAAGGGGGGGATTGTATGTTGGCGCATGGGCAGTGCAACAAGCGGGGTCAGGCTTTTTGCTGTGTATTTACTTTCTCTCAGTATGGTTTTGTGCGCATGTTGTTTTACATAGTCAAGGCCGATCCTGCCTTGTTTTCATTAATGTTACACAACCACTTCCCTATACTGTTACAAATTGTTTTTGTCTAGCCTTTTTAAAACAACTGGTTATATGTCTTTGTAGAGAGCCTAGAAACAGACCCACGTCTGTAAGGGAAATTGGTGTGTGAAGGGTGGCATCGTAAATCCACAGGAAAGGACGGACTGTTGAGTGATTGGTGCTGGAAAAAGATAAATTAGATTCCCACCTCCCATACTGGAACGTGAATCAAAGACCTCAAACACTGTACACGGGGAGGGGACACGTTATGGCCTTGAGGAAGGGCTGAGTATGTTGAGATTTTAAAGGCAGAAACCATGAAGGAAGATACTATCTATTTGACTAAATTCACTCTAAAAATTTCTATAAGAGACTGTATAAGCAATGTAAAAAATGAGCCATTGTTGGGGAAAATATTTGCAATATACGTAAGCAGCTGAATACATAGAGAATTCTATAGGTGAATAAGTAACAGACAGCAGCTACATAGCAAAACCTGTGAGCCTCGCGGGAAAGGAAACCAGAATGTCTAATGAATGAATGAAGAGGTGCGCACATCACTTAGGAATCAGAGAAATTCAGATTAGATGATGAGCCACTGTTTTATACCCATCAGACTGGCAGAAGTCTAAACGTCTTTATGGTCACTCTCGAGGCCGTGGGAAAGGGTAACTCGCAGCACGGTCAGGAGTATGAACCCGCCAGAGTGCCGTGAAGAGAGACAGGTGGTAACGTGTGCGTGGAGGGTGCTGGTGCCCTGTGGGTAATTCCACATGTGCGCAGACACGCTGTCACGTGTGCAGGGACATACGGGGAGGTTTGCTGCAGCACCGAACAGTGACGTCAGGCTCTTCCCCGGTGCGTGCTGCCGAAGTGCACAGTGGGCCAGTCACACAGTGGGGTGGTCTCGGGTGGTTGGAAATGACCCAGTAAGTCCCCCAACGCATAGTGTGTGGAGTTGCAGGGGGGCACATGCAGACATTTCCTTGTGAGAAAGATGAAATACAAGTACTTATTTCTGATTCCCACCAAAATGACAACATAAAGATTAAAAAATATATACGTATAAACTCCCAGGGATGGGGATAGCAGGAGAGAAGTCACCAGGAGGTGGGAATGTCAACAAATGCCCGCCTGGAAAACCCCCAAGTCTACTACAAATCTGTTAGAATTTATTAAAAACAAACTGGTGAGGTGGCTGAATGCAATAGACGTTTCCTTAAAAGCAGTAGCTTTTTGCTGCATTTTTATAAATATTGGTTCTAGGAATGGAAATGAAAAGTTTAATTTGCAAGAACAAAACTCATTAAATACCTACATATAAAGGTTACAGGCTATTAATAAGAGGTGTTTTTTTTTTTTAAAGCTTCCCGGTTGATTTTAATATACAACCAGGGATGAGAACCACCGATTTAGATGAAGAAAACTAAAATCCAGTAGAAAACAGGCAGGCTCTGAGCAGGTGCAGAAACTCATTTCTCCTCAAAGCTAATATACGCACTTTAGTGAAGTTCCAGGGGAGATGCAAAAGGCAACAAGTATTCCCACGCTGAGCGATCGCTGTCAGCATGCTAGTGTGCGGTGTGCCCCCCACGCACACGGAGGCCCGTCTGCTCCCATGCGCCCAAGCACACGCCTGGGGTCCCGTGTCCACTGTTAAACTGGGTCACATCCTGTACCGTGGTTCTCAGGTGCCAGTTCTGGGTCCTTTGCATGAGAATCACGTGAGCGGTTTTTTGAAAAAGTCAACCTTCAAGCTCCTGTTCCAGAAAGTCCGCTTCAGTGGTCGGGGGTAGGCCCTCAGCCACTCTTGTCAGTTACCCAGATGATTCTGATGCAGGCTCAGGTTTGGGGACACTGTTTTGTAAGTGGCTTTCCTACTGTCATTTGATATTTTTTTCTCTCATTACTTTTTGGGGCACAAGTGGCACAACTATGTTAAGACTTACTGGTCATTTCTTTTAAAAAAAAGCTAATTGAATGTACTGGGGTGACATGGGTTAATAAGATTATATAGGTGTCATGTGTACGGTTCCGGAACATACCATCTGCATCTTGTACTGGGTATTCACCACCCTGAGTCAAGTCTCCTTCCATCACCATTGATCCTGCTTTGCCCTCTTGTCCCTCCCCACCCCACCCCTCTGGTCATCACCGTATAAATGGTCGGTTTTTGTCTCCAGGAAAAGAGAGGAAACAAAGCGTCCGATAAAGCTGCCGTCGTGGCCTTTGATGCCTTGGTGAACTTCTGTGAAGAACTGGGGTGAGTGACTTATTTGCGTGTTTCCAGAGCAAAGCGTTAGTGAGATCTTTTCCTCCTCCAGCACCCGTGGGTTAACCAGCTAATGCAGGGCAACACTTGGGCCACCAGGGGGCCCCTGTGTGCCGAAGGTCGTGGTTTGGGGCGTTTCCTGTCAGGCAGCCTAGAGGTCGGTACCCTTCCACTCTTTTGTGGAAGGCCCCAGAAACCCTGGCTGTGTGAGGGCCGAACATTTTGGGGGCTCATCCATCTGCCCTAATTTACCCCCTTCTGGAGTGGGTGGCCCTGTGAGTGACTCAGTCCTGAGTCAGTGGACCAATTCTGAGCCTCTGGCATTGTGGTCATCACAGGCCACTGAGCTGGACAGTGGCTTCACTCTGACCCCGGATGAACAGGGGCTGGTGACCCAGCTTACCCCTTGCCCAGTGCGTAACATGCTTGGGGAGAAATCAGCTTTTCTCACACAACGCCAGTCCTCCCACTTGGAACTTCTCTGTTTTATCTGCGTCTGCCGGTGGTGGCGTCACGGAGGAGCCTGGTAGCTGCAGGCACAGGCAGGCTGTGGCAGGGTGGCTTCCGAGCACAGCCGCTGCCGTGCACCCGTGAGGGGTGTCCAGCAGGATTCTGGACTGGCTGGCAGCGCCGTGCGCTCGGGTAGCCCTTTGGTCTGAAAAGCTCTTTGATTCCTCCGCTGTCGTCGATCAGATCTCACTGTACAGCCCTGTGAGGCAGATGAAGCAGAAATGGCTGCTTCAGACTCAGAGATGAGCAGACCAGTGTCTAAGATGTGACAGTCACAAAGCTCGTGGCAGACGCGTGAACCCTGGACCCGCCAACTCTCAGTGTGCATTTTTACGTACATGTGCTGCCTTGGGTTTGCATGGTGAGATGAGATTCTGGAAGCATGAAGCTGGTTACCGGCGTCTGGCAGTTGTTTGGGGCTCGCTCTGGAAACCAGAGACTGCGCCCTGGGTTTGATGCCTGCCCCTCCTGTTCCCTGATGAGAAGGCGGCCCCCGGACTGAAGCTCTTTCCTTCTCCAAGCAGTGTGCTCTCATCTGGCCTCCGTAACCAGAGCAGGTTTGGGGCACACTGTTTTGTGCCGAGGAGTTTGGCTGCATTCAGGACCGCCCACAGCTGTTGTGACCGAAGCCCTGTCCAGGCACTAGTACAGGGAGGCGCCAAATTAGGCCTTGGGCTCCTGGACCGAAGCACTCGTGGTGGAAGGGCCAAGTGTCCTTGCTGTTTGTCAGTGTCCCCTCGGCTGGAAACAGCCCTGACCTGGTTCTTGTCTGGGACGTGTCTGAAGCTCGGTAGGGCTGTCCAGAGGGTTGGCCGCCCCATCCCAAGGGGCTAGGTCTTCCCAAGGGCCTCTACCCTAACTTCTCCTCTCACTGTTGGGGGCCCGGGTGCCAGCCGGGTCCCATTGCCCCGTGTGCAGCTTCATCTCTCATATGTCACAAGTGAGGGTCACAGACTCCAGGACTTCTGGGCCTGGGGATGGAGTAAGCCCAGCTGGCGTCACTGGATTTGACACTGCTCTACGAGTAAGGGGAATGTTTCTTTAACGCGTAAATGGCGTATAGCATGAAGAAAAAGCCCCTTCCCCTCCAGATCTGGGCCCCTTTCCTAGTCTAGGTTTATGGTCGAAGGTGAAGCAGCTGTTCACTAAGGAGAGCACCTGGTGTCGAGGGCCAGGCCAGTGCAGTGGCTTGGGCAGAAGTGGGCACATTCCCACAGAGGCAGCGTTGTAGGACCTGGGTGCACAGAGGTACCTCTGGGACCAGGAGCAAAGGCCCTGGGGTCAGAGGGGGGCAGTCCGGTGGGCCACCAGTGGGCTTCCCCTCATCCTGCCTACAGCTGCGTCCTCCGAGCTAAGGCCACGGGGAGCATTTGATGGTTCACGGCAGGGCGCTTTACCTTGTAGCATCAGAAGGACAGTGATTGGTGCGAAGCACTCTCTGGCCTACAGGCTGGACGACTTCTCTGAGAGGGAAGAATGGCCCTGGGTGCTGGCCTGGGTTGAGCGGGGCTCCCACCGTCTCCGCTGGGGGAGTGAGCAGCCCAGCACCCTCTGTTCACCCGTTTGTTTTGCTCATTTGTCCCTTCCTTCAACCAACAGATACCGGTTGGTACCGACCTTGCCGGGCCCACTGGTTGGCCGTTGAGCGACCAGTGGTGAGCACAGTGGGGCCCGTCCCCGGCTTCTGTGGTGCTAATGAGGAAGATGGGCTCTTGTCAGATCACCACATAAAAATGTGTAATTCCAGACTGTTGAAAGGGCTTTGAGGGAAAGGTGCATGGTGCCTGGGGAGTGTGTAGCAGGTGGCCCCCCTTCTTGGTCCCCCAAAAGTCAGGTCATGACTCTTTGAACCGGTTGGCGTTCTCAGGCGTAGGGAGCGCACCAAATACTATGGCGAATGACATGAGGAGCAGGACCACGATGATGAATAGGCTGATCACAGCCAGGCCCCCCTGGTCCCAGGGGTTCTCCCAGAACTGGTCCTTCCAGAGGTGCCTCCGATTCATCATCAGGATGTCCGTGTGAACCTGAGACGGGGACGAAGGCTCTGGGTTCAGGGGCCTCTCCAAGGCCCTGTCCCAGGCGCTGCTGGCCACCCACATCTGGCCCCAGCCCCGACTCCACCCCCTGCAGCAACCTCCGAGCCACCTCTGCAGACACTAGAGTGACGGCTGGTGTTCGGGCTCTTCCCGGAGGCCACCCCTGGGTGCTCCAGTCCTTTCCTAAGCGGCGCTGGGATGAGCGAGGACTTCCTCTCCCATCCCCGAGACCACCTCAGCTAGAGCTCTGCTCCAGGTCCCTCCCGTATTTCCTGTCTCAATGGCCAAACGCTTGGGAAGCACTTTGAGGGATCAGCGTAGTTGTGGAGGAGCGGACTGACTCGAGCTGAGACCCCCGAAAACTTCCCGTGAGGCAGCTGCAAACGTGGGGCTTGCGGAGCTTCTAGAGGAGCCACTGAGGTTGGCAGGCTGCACACCTGCAGCCAGTGGAGGGGGTGCAGGCTAAGGGCGGGGGGTCGTTACCTGACTCTGCCGTTCACTCTCCCGTGCGCTGAGGCAGGGCGGAGCAGGGTAATGTACGGGCCGCACTCTGGAGGCCCGGCTGAAGAGGTCAGCAGGTAACCAGAGCGGCACTGGGCCTCAGAGAAGCACCTGTTGGGAGAAAAGGGTGTTCCCGTTGCCCAGTGGCCCTGACCAGACCTCCTTGCTATCACCTGGGCAAAGGTGGGCCAGGGCCCATTGCCTAGCAACCCTGCCTAGCAACCCCTGGTTCCGTTCTGCCTTTCACACTTACCCCCTCACCTGCCTTCTGCCCTTCTGTGATGTCGTGTGGCGGGGGGCTTCTCGAGGTATCCTCACTAGGAGAAGTCAGACTTGGGGTGGATAGGGGAAGAGATGGGATCCAGGGCCTTCGCCCCAGGCTACCTATCTGCCAGGCCGAGTCCTGCCCCTCCCCTTAGTCTGGACCAGGTGTGGACTGATAGGATCCGCCCAGAGCTCAGGCTCCCCCGCCTGCGGTATGGGGTGCATGGCTGAGCGCAGGTGCCTCCCGGAACTCATTTCTGGGTGGAAGTGTTATCACCAGTGAGGCTCTGGGTCCTGCTTCATGTGGCTGGTTCCTACCCACTGCTGTGATAGGGCAGCCAGGAAGTGGGAATGGAGCCAGGGCCTTGGCACGCGAAACCTGGTGGCTGTCACTCACTCCTCTGTGGGACAGGGTTCAAGTGCTGGCTGTGGCCAGGAGCTGCTCTCGGCACTGCGGTACTGTGTGAACCAGCAGAGGCAGGCCCTGCCCTTCCAGACCTTACATCCCAGCGCACTGGCCCTCAGCCAGGCTGGTGGGACCATCTAGGAGCTGTTCTGAATGCCTATGCCCAGGCCCCGCCCATGCCACTGACCTTGGTCTCTGGGCATGTCCGAGACCCGCACGCCAGGCAATTCTAACGTGCGGCCGGGTGTGAAGAGACACTAACGGGCAAGTTCGGTGAAGCCCCTCTTAACGGTCATGGCTTTGTTGACCCTGGCCTGCCCAGCGCTTTGCATTCCTTTTTGTTGAACACCCTGACTAATGCCCTTGGCCTGCTAACCGCTCCCAGTGGGCGGGCTGGTCTCTGGTACACCCCTGTGCTTCCTCTCCATCATTACGCTGGGTGCTTATCAAGAGTCAGCTGTTTGTCCCCAAACCTGTTTGTGGCAGCTGTCATTGTCATTACATCATTGCACTTAAGAATTACAGAATGAATTGAAGCCACAACAATGGCCGAAACCCCAATTTTGCAGCCGGGGAGCAGACTCAGTCATTCTAGCCAGGAGCTGCGCTGCCCCTCGGGGCCAGTGGGCAGAGGTCCTTTCCAGAATTACCTCTTTGACCACCTTGGAATGACTTTGGGAACACTCAGATAACATTCCCGTCAAAATATTACTTTGATGTAGACAATAGTAAACATTTTGTAAAAATCCAGAAGGATCTCACACTCACATTCTTTGCAGATGCCTTTAAGCTTTTGCTCTGCATTGCGGAAAGCAAAATTAGGCAACCCAGGAACTCTAGTCAGCAAACCTGCACTCGGAAAACAGCCCCTGGGAGGAGGGGGGACCACCGTTGGGGCCTGTGGCAGAGCCTGGCCGGGACCAAGGGGACAGTCCTGGGAGGAGTGATGTGTACAGGGAGACCAGAGACCATGTAAGAATTAGAATCAGGGGCAGGTTCCATGGAAGGCGGCAGGTGCCAAGGAGAGTGAGATACGTCCGCAGGGATAAAATTAATTTGTCCTCAGGTTTTTCTGCTCTGGAACTGCTATTACCCACAAGCAAACTACATCAGTCCCTGAAGATTTTACAGTCAATTGCTTTCAGATGTCAGTGTTTTCGAAAGCAGATTTAGGAGAGAACCAGTTTGTGTGCTCTCTGCCAAGTTTTGCTCATGGGATTCTCGGGGACCTTAGTATAGGTGCCCTTACTGTAGTGTCTGATAAGGCATACCGTACAGACGGTGAAGTGTATAGATCTTAGTGCAAATGAAGCCCTTCTGAGGAACCCAGAGACCACAGAGGCCACTGCTGGCGGGGAGGGTGGGCATGAGCAGACCGGCGAGCTGAGTCAGGAGCCTGGCTCAGACGCTGCTGCAGTGACCACGATGGCTTGGAGCTGGGTGCCATGGCCACGGGAATGGAGAGATTTTGGGTCTGGAGTCAGCCAGACATTCTCTGGGCCCGAGACAACCTGAAGGCCACCCCTCCCGTGGCCACCACCCACCTCGCTGTGCCTGTCTGTTCTGTCCCACAGCGGAGGTGTGGCTGCTGCCTCTACGCTCTCATCTGCCCCAGAGAGGCCCCGTGCCGGGAGTATGGCAGCCTGCTGTCGTGTGTGGCACCAGAGCAGGTCTGGCCGGTTGAGCTGAGTGGGATCGAAGCCTATCCCGGACTTGGCCGGATCGGTGGTGGGGCTCAGGGCGCCCCAGTTTGCCGAGGAATGGGGAGGAGCCAGCCCTCTGAGGGCAGGGACTGCGTCTTATTTGGACTCAGCAGTTAGGTACTGCCTGGCGTGGAGGAGAAAAATGCAAACAAACCAGCCGGTCAGCCTGTCGGTACCCAGGGCTGTCCGGGTGGCCTCCACCTCTTGGCACCTGGACCAGGAAGCCAAAATCTTCTAGCAAAGAGGTTCAGGTTCGGCCACTTTCAGGGAGGGATGCCCTTGATGCTGCGGAAAAGCTGCTTCTGGAAAAGTCTCGGGGATGCTGCGCTGTTGGAGGGGCTCCGGAACCCAGAGCTTCCTGTCCCGCCGGCCCCTCCCAACTTCCCTACCTGTTTCTTCCGAGAGGGGGACCTAGTTGGGCCCCAGCCGCTCACAGGGAGGTCATTTTGAGACAGCTCTGGGTGCGGGTGTCTGGGCTGGTTGATGGAGGTAATGGAATCAGAACCTTATCTGCACTGCAGCTGGGAGGCCTCGGGCCTGGGTGTGGCAAGTGGAGGCTGTGCTGCCAGCCCGGCCCTGCCCAGAGGCTGGCCCTGCCACCTTTCAGCTGGTCTTGTCACCCGACAGGGGCCTGGCCCTGAGCGGGACTGACTAGTGCCAGCTGGTAGCGTGTCTGTTTTTGACTTTGTGCAGGAAAGATTTCACAACACAAGTCCAGGTGACTGAGTGTGTTTATTAAAACTGGGGACAGTGAGACAAAAAAGGGCTTAGAATAGAAGTGACAGGAGAGCCCAGGCTGGGCTGCCTCTGCTCACTGGGAAGTCAGAGAAAAGGGGGCCTCGGGGATGGGTTCAGGGGGTCAGCTGGGGACAAGCTGCAGGGCTGCCGCCACCCATTTTGCCCTGATTGCAAGCCTCTGGGCCCCTTAGAGGTTCAGGTGTTGCTGCCTGTGGGGGAGGAAGTGAGGGAACAAGATGGGGGAGGGAATGGCTCCGGCTGCTCCCCAGCTGGGTCCTTTGTCTCGAGGCTGTGTGTCTCTCTCAGGCAGGAATCTCAGGGGAGGTCTCCGGGGGGGGGGGGGGGGTTTCAGCAGATGTTCGTCAGTTCTCCAGGTGCGTCCTTTCAGGGCCATGGTCCCCACGGATTGGTCAGCGACGGGGGTCATTAGGCACTGCAGGCTGGCCCTGGCTTCACCCACCTGGTTTTGCTGCTTTTCTGGGCCCAGGGCTGAAATGCAGCTGAGGCCTAGATGCCATCTCTAGAGGAGGTGACCTGCATCTGGTTGAAAATTGTTCAGCCAGTTTTGTTCAGCCATCTGTCTCAGTTTCCCTGCTCACCTTGCCAAGTTTTCCCAGCTTTTACTATCCTGCCTCGGGTGGACTTAAGCTCCCTAGCGTTGCTGAGGCTCAATCGCCTCATCTTTAAAATGGGGACGATAATGTCACCTACGGCACGGACGCCGTTGTGACGGTTCGGTGCACCTGTCTGCGTCAGAACTAGGACACCACCGAGCACGTGTGAGCTCTCAGTGAGCTCTAGCTGCCCTCACACCATCACTGGCATCTCCACTGTTGTTCCTATTCCACATCCCGTTCTTTGGTGGTCCCGGGGGGCAAAGGGCGAGGGCAGACTTCCTGCGTTTCTTCTGTTCTGTGTGGAAGCACGTCCTCTCTGGGCCTTCAGCTGAAACCAAACTGACAAGCCCCTGGACACCGGGAAGTGAAACCAGCCAGAGAAACTGCTTCCGCTTGCCTGCCAGCTTGAGCGTGGTGGTGATGGGTGGTGGCAGGGGCTGGCATCCCCTCCTGACTCCCTGTTTTCTGAGTAGACGGGGTTCTGTCCCCAAGCAGCCAGAGCACAGCTGCCCAGGCCAAGACGACAGAGGTGTGTGAAAAATGCAGACCTTTTATGGCTCTGGGGTCCGGTGGGCAGGAGGGGAGGTACCACGGGAGCTGTCCCTCGCCTGCCGTCATCCTTGGGTGGCACCTCTACCTGGAAAGCTCCCCAGGAAGAGAGAGCAGGTTGGAGTGGGAGGCAGGGCGGTGCTGAATTTCAGCAGGACCCGCCGTTAAAACGGTCCATTCAGCTCTGGGCCAGCCGCCGTGCAGAGGAGCCGCTCACACATGCAGAGAGCACACACGTGCTCGACCTAGGTCATCTTAGCTTATCCCCACGGGCTCACCCCGGGAGGCAGTTACCAGGATTGGCCCCATTTCACAGGGAGAAAAATGTGACTCAGGGAGGGCGCGTCACTCACCTGGATTCCTGCAGCTGGTGACTTGGGGAGGGGGAGATTTGAATCCAGACAGTCTGGCACACAAGTGGGGAAAGGGCAGAGGTGTCGGGACTCAGGTTGAGGTCAGTTCTGGGGGCCTGACCTGTCTTCTTTTACTCCAGAAGTTGGGGAAAACTGGGCAGCCTGAGCCTGCTAGTGCAAGGTGAGCTTGCTAGTGCAAGCTGTGCCTGCCCAAGTTAATGGCAGTGGAAACTGTTAAGTGGCGCCTCTGAGCCAGCACCTGCCTGGGGCACACACAGCATCTGTCACTGAAGAGTGGGCGTCTGGGGGCTGGAGCTTGTTAGCAGCTAGTGCTTGACTGGCACTCCCCCCACCATGGCCCCGCACTCCCTCCCGGTGGCCTTCCCACCTGCGTGGTTTCCAGCTTTCACAGGCACAGGGAGAGCAGGGGTCTGCAAGGACAGCCACCGGTCACGCCCCCGGAGTTCTGGCATGTGACCTTGCTGATGCAGGGAGCACAGCCCGAGAGCCTGGTGCCACGGAAGTGCGTCCCTGAAAAGCTTTTACTGGGGAGAAACAGGCAGGAGCCGGCCAGGATACCTGCGTGGCCTGCGCTGTTGGGGAGTGCGGGGTCCCGCCGCCACCGCACAAAGTCCCTGTGGTCGGGCCGCTCCTCTTTGACATGGTTCAGCAGAACCCCAGGACCAGCTCCCCGCAGGTTGGCAACCCGGCTTCTATGTTTATTAAAAAGTGCAGGTAGGCCAGGTGCCCTGGCGCTTGCCTCCATCCTTGAAATGGTCGGCCCCTCCTTCGTACCGTGTTCACTGGCAGGGGGAGGGAGGCCTTATGACTGTAATGGCCCTTGTTTCCTTGACGAGCTTTCCCGTGTCATGGTCAGGTTCTTGGGCAGGGCCAGCACCATGACAGTAGTTCTTGGTCCTGAGGGGTCAGGACTGCAGGGCCAGGCCGACGCCTGGACTGTGGCTCTGGCAGACTCCTCTCCTGTCTCCTCGGTCAGCCTCCGCCCTTCACCGCGGGGTCATGGGCCGCACCTGGGTCTTCCTGCCTCTCTGCTCAGGGCAGCAGCAGTGGGCGCAGCAGCAGCTACAGGCTACCAGCAGCAGCAGCAGCACAGTGGCTGGAGGACGGGGGCGGAGACAGGAACCCCAAGGTGAGAAGAGAAAGGAGCCTGCCTCCTTCCGAAGCAGCCCCTCCTGAGGTTTGGGGCCTTGGCCTGAAGGCCTGGATCGCTGGTCAGAAACACCCTTGGGTCTGACAGGTGTCCACCAGCCCAGTGCCGGCCACCGGGGCCTGGACCTCCCCCCTGCGGTACCTCGTCCGCTTCCCAGAGCTCTGCTCCCTTCGTCCCCGGGCTGGAATGCTGGGCTGCCTCTGATGCCCAGCACCACCCAGCCCATCACTCAAGCAGCGTGCCCCAGGACTAGGGGGAATCCCTTGTTTCTCCTCCTCTTCCCGGGAGGCACCATGCCACCTCCACCAGCCCTCGGGCCAACACCCTGGTCTCATCTCCCGGGTGCCAAGAAGAGCCAAGGAGAACCTCAGGGTCCCACTGACCTGTGAAGAGGACGATGACAGAGAAGGCCACGATCTCCACGGGCTCCGCCTGTGGCAGCCTCTGCAGTTTGAGCAGCAGCCTCTCCCCCACCGCGCTCATCTCCTGCACGAAGTCCGTGGCTGTCATGCCGAGTGGGGTTCCCGCGGGGCCCCTGCCAGGCTGTGCCGAGCAGAGATGGGGCCTGAGTCCCTGCAGGCTGGGGCTCGGGCATCCGCCCTCTCGCTCCCCTGCAGCCCGCAGAACGGGTTTGTCGGGTCTCAGCCCTCGCAGTTCTGGCGGCTTTGGTGGGGGGACTGCTGGGCAGCCTGTGGGGCCCCTCTGCTCAGAGGTGGCCCCCTGCCCTCACCTGGCTGGCACTGGCCCCCACCTCTCCACCAGCCCACGTTTCTTTGCTCATAAGGAGTTCTCCTGTGAAGAGGAAGAGATGGCACTGTGTCCCTTCAGTTTTTCCCGAGGGGGTCCTCTTCAAAATGGGATCGGGTACCCCAGGGCTAGTCTGGCCAGTCCCTTCCTCCCCTGGTGGCTCAGACCCCCACTTCTGGGCTACCAGGAGGGTCTCCTCTGCTCTCACACCTGCCCCAGGTGTGTGGTAGCTCAGCCCACTAGCTCTTCCTGTCTGGGAGGCCCGGCCCTGGTCTTCGAGTCGAGCATGATGTGTGGCCACGCTCCCTCCCCCGCCTCATCTGCAGGCACAGGGAGCAGGGGCCTTTAGACAGAGACCAGGGACAGCGTGCGCCAGCCCGGCCCGACCCTGCTCCCCAAGGCAGCTCTAACCCCAGGGAGGCTGACAGGTGGCCAGGGGCAGACCTCAGGCTCTAGTCACTGCTGCCACGTCCCCTGCCTCGCCAGGCGGGTCTTCCCGACACGGCTGCGGTCTGTGAGGCCGGTCACTCCCGGGGGTGTCACAGCCTGGCCCCCTGTTCTCCCTGTGGTGTTCGGCCTTTGCTTGAGCCCCTCTGGCCACGGTGGGAACCCCACCTGCTACCACCCCACCCCACCTTCTAGGGCAGCTCTGATCAGCAGGGGGCGGGACCTCGTACTGACCCGTGATCCCTCCAGTGGCCCTTGGGACACTTCTGCGCCTCTTCTGCCTCAGTCCTCCAGGGCCTGGCAGGCAGCTGGTATATGCCACCTGCATCGCCTCCTCCACAAAAGAATTTTCCTAGTGGTTTTGTCACCTGCCTGCGCAGAGCGCTGTCTGTGTCACCCGTGATTTGAGCGCTGCCTCCCCTTCCTGCTTTGGTGACTGGACGAGTGAGTCCCTTCGTCTCCGAGTCTGTCCCTCCCTTGAATGAGAGTGAGATGCCTGTCTTTCGAGGCCGCCTGGCAGCGCGGAGCCTGGCACAGGGAGGTGCCCGGCCCACGTGACTCCTTCTGGGCGGGGCCTGGTCAGTGCAGGAGAGTCGGGGAGGCCTGTGGGGGTAGTTACACCTCTCTGAACACTGTCGGTGTCCCTCCTCAAACACCTTGGGGGGTTTCATCTGCGTCCTTCATTCCAGAATGTTCGTGGTGTGTGAGGAGAAGGACAGGGAGGCAAGCTGCTTTTGTGTGGTGACAGGTAGAAGACATGATGGCCCCGTGGAAGTCAGATCAGTGGTCGGCAGTGGGAGGCTTCTGGAGCTAGAGCCTCCCACCTTCCCTCACACCCCACTCCAGCGTCAGCATGTTTGCGCAGGAGGCCAGGATCCCAGTTTTCAAGTGTACTAAGGCATAGCCTCCTGGAACACCGCAGGTTGTTATGCCTGCCGCCTTTCTGTTACAAACGGGGAAACAGAGCCGAGAGAGGCAGGGACTTCTCTGGGGTCACCCAGCAGGACGGGTCGGGCCAGCCCCCCTGCTGCCCCGCACTGCCTCTCAGTGGAGGCCTGCCTTGGGAAGCCCGCTCTCTGACCAGCAAGACGGGTCAGCTCAGGACCGCGGACTGCGGGCACTGCCCATGCGGCGGGCTAGCCCAGTGACCTGGGACCCTTTTGGGGAAGCTGGCAGGCTCTGCGAGAGCATCCGTAGCTCACCCGCTGGAGCCTGGGACACTGCTTTTATCAGGCAGGTCACCCACCAGGCCAAGGCCACACCTGCTCTGTGAGAACCACCGAAGGGACAGATCTGGCCTGTCTGTCTCAGGCCCACCACATTCCTTCCCAAGCATAGGATCTCTTTCCTGTGGTCCCACCAAACAGAATCCCCCTGTTGACCAGTGGGGCGGGCCCCTCCCTTGTTCTGGGGCCTGTGGGCATCCCTGCCCCCGGGGTCCCCAGGTGGCCCACAGCCCGTCTGCTGGGCTCTGTCCTGGGGGAGAGCTCACAGGGCAGAGGCTGCTCCTCTCGCTCCGGTTTTGGCGGCGCTGGGTCTGGCTTCTCCAGCCCAGTTGGCCCAGTGCCTGCATTGCCTACTGTAAGGATCAGACACTCCTTAACAGGGGTGGGCGGAGGGCAGGGGGAGTTTTTCCCTCGAGGGCTGGCAGAGGGGCGTGACCTTCAGAGCCGGGAGGAGGAGGGTGGCCCGGGCTGGGCAGAGGCAGCACTGCTGTGCGGGAAAGGTGTGGTTTGTTGATCAGAAGTTGCAGCTTAGAGTCAGCCACCCTCCAGGGACTCGTGACACTTCTGGCGGCAGACTCCTGCCCAGGGGGCCCGCGCCCCACTCTGGGAAGACTGCTGGTCTGCGTAGTGGCAGCAGGGCGTGGCAGTGGATGGCGTCACGGCTGTTCACCCGGGGCCTCCGGAGGCCGGGGTGAGCCAGCCTCGCCCAGGCCAGGGCTGCCCCCTGGATCCTGTCTGCACCGGGAACAGGAGTGGAGCCACTGGGCAAGGCCCTTCTGCCCCAAAGACTGAAGAGGAGCCCCCTCAGCTTCTCAGTTGAGGTTTTGTCATTTCCAGCTTTGGCTTGAGCAGAAGGATCCTTAGCAGGTCCATAGGGGAGTTGGAGGGGCCTCTTTTTCCTACGAGGCAGAAGGCACATTCCAGCAGGTCTCAGGCGGTCTTCCCAGTGGGCTATTTAAAGCAAGGCCAAGGGGGTGCCTGGTGCCTGGTGCCCAATATAGCCAGCAGCAGTCAGGTGACCATGGGGCTTGTGCCCTAGCTGCTGCTCTGTCGGGAGCCCTGAGTGTTCCCAGCTGTGGCCCCGGGGAAAGTGGGCGCTCTGGGGCGGCTGCCTCTCCTCCCCGTACCCTCCCAGGTTGGAAGGAGAAGGGCAGGGAAGTCCAGTGGGACTGTGGGGCAGTCTCTGTTTTTCTGGTCTCTCTATCTCAGGTCCACCAAACTCCTTCCAAACGTACCTCCTGCCTGTGAACCAGGGAAACCAGAGTCCCTCCCAACCCTGTGCTCAGTATTTCATCCACTGGAAGCAGCCAGAGCAGGTGGTGGCTTTCCTGGTCCCGGGGTCTGGGGAGCAGCCCCCGCTGCCTGCCTGGAGCCTTCCCAGGGTGCTCCAGGCTGGAGTGGCAGCCAGCGGAGGGGGCAAGTGAGCGAGGCAGGGAGGAAGGCCGGCCGAGTGGGTGGACTAGGAGACATTCCTATGGGTGTCATCTCCTGAAACAGCACCTTGCGACAAAGCCGTCGGGCCACTCCTACTGAAGCTTCCGGTTTCCTCTGCAAAACTGATACTCCAGCTCTCCAGGGGCAGCAGGCAGGTGCTTTGGGGACTGGTAGGTACAGGTGTGGATGGCACAGGGCCCTCAGGGTTTCCTGCTCTGCCCGGTTATTTTGTGGTTATTTTGTCGAGTGGTTTTCAGCCACCCTTGCCCCCAGGGCGCTGCCTTGTTTGAGAAACAGCTAGAATGAATAACAACCTAATGAATAACAACTCTCTGTGGGAGACTTGTGGGGGCCAGAGGCCTGGCCAGTGAGGTGGAGAAACCACTGTGGGCTTCACTGAGCCTTCCGCACGACACCCCCCTTCGCCTTGGCTCCAGCTTGCTCTGGGAAGTGGACACTCGAGCCCTCAGCAGGTCCCCCTTCCCCAGCCCTGTGGCCTTTCAGGGCCGAGGACTCCCTTGTGCTGCTGGTGATTATTCCCGAAGCCCCAGAAACTGGGCATTACCCTTCTGTCCCAGCTCAGGGACTGCCATCCCCGCCTGCCTGCCTGGGGTGTCCCAGGGGTAGGAGCCAGCAGGTGTAGCCATGGGCTCACCACCTGCCCTGCTGCCTCAGACACAGCCCCACGCCTGTGCCTTCTCTCCACCCTGTGCTGCCCAGCCCCCGGCCCAGGCCGGATCCCACCGCCTCTGCTGATCCGGGAACACTCGGACTGACTCTCGGTTTCCACTCTTACCCACATGATGTTTTTTTTCTAAGTAGATGCCAGCTTGTTTGTTTTGGGGAAGACATCTGGGGGTGGGGAGGGAGACTTTAACCTTGATGTGAGAGGCAGGGAGGCAGGAGGAGTCAGCTGGCCTTGGCTCCCGGGGCCCTGCCCAGGAGGGCCCCTCTCCACGCTGCACGGAGAACCATTTGGGGGTCAGGCCAGCCTTACAGGGGAGCAGCAGAGGGCTGGCTAGCAGGGCGGAAGCTCCCCCAGCCTCAGTTCCCTGTCTTCCCTTCTCCCCATCCGACCCTGGGCTTAGAGTCTGGCCCTCTCATTTCCGGCGTGGCATTTGGAGAGGGTTGTGGGTATCTCAGTGAGAGCCTGGAGGAGCCCTGGGCCGAGAACGCCTGGCGGTGAGCTAGCCAAGGTGTTGCTGAATGGACCCCCCTCTCCCAGGACCCCCCTGAACTAGGTTCACCTTGCCCACTGCCAGGGATTTACAGCTCTCAATGTCAGAGACTGGTGAAAAGGAAAGGAACAATTTATTTGAAAGTTATACAGACTTAGAGTAATGACTTAATGCCTTTGTTAAAATCCCAAAGTCCCTTCAAACACCCACAGACACACAGCCTTCCTTCCCCGCTTTGCCCGGTCTGGGGTACTGTATCTCAGGAAAAGGAATAGAAGTCTGTGGCTCAGGCATTCCCCGGTTCTTCCCAGTGATAGGTGCTGGGCTCGGTTGGAAGCCCACCCCGGCGCCCCCGCCCCGGCGCCCCCGCCCCATGGTTCCAGACACCATCAGCTGTGTTGCTGTGACCTCCAGTTCTCAATCCAAACCCACGTGGCACCCTCTCAGGGCCCAACCAGCAAGAGTCCTCTCACCCCTTTCCTTCCCGCAGCATCTCTCCTGCATTCTTCTGAGCTTCTAAGAGAGAGCTCCCCGTCGCTGCTACATTTTGCTTTCCTGCTTCCTAAGCTGCACGGTCAAGGGAGCCCCAAACCACGGGGTTAGCCCCACAAATCACGTGGTTCCCACCTGTGTGGCTGCCACACCTGGGTTTAGATTCAGGCATGAATCTTCCTCTGCAGCCCCATTTCTGACTCCACCCACAGTCCGCTACACCTGCCAGCATTCCGTATTTTTCCAGCTTTTTTTGAGCTGCCACAGTACGTCCGGGCAAGCATGGCCCTGTGGCGTGGAGCCGGCCTTCTCCTCGCTCTCACGCAGGCTCTGTAACCAGGGCGAGTTGCCTCCCAGTTACATCAAGGGTCGAAGTCACCCCCATCTCCCTGGTTCAAAGCGTGGCCACAGCTACTTAACTTAGAAACCAGCTAAAAGTTACAGATATGATAACAGTTTTTGTGGTTATTTGCAAACTGTTGATATGCAAAATAACTCAGTGGCCCTGCTCCATGTGTCCCATCACCCAGTTCAGACTTGTGGGTCTGAAGACAACTATATATTTATTTTTTTGACATCTATATTTTTAGTATTTCCTGGACACTCTGAATTCTGGACCCTGTTACACATCCCTCTTTGTTGGGGGTCCTGGCAGCACCCTGTTTCAAAACCCCTCACAGTCGGTGGCAGCTGCTGCTCTTGTCTGGGACACAGGCAGAGCTGCCCTGGGGGTAAGAAATGGCTGGACAGACCTTGCTCTGAGCTTCCTGGGCTGGGGAAGCAGGGCCCCGGGAGCTCCGCCTTGACCTGGGGAAAGGGAGGCTCTGTAGGCAGGCGATGTATGTTTCTCCCCCAAGCCGGGCAGCCAAATCCCTTGGCTAAGCCCCCATTGAAAAGGCACAAAGTAACCTGCAGCGTAAGCAGGCACCCAGCCCTCCGCCTGCTCAGCAAACAGGGAGAAAACCACCCTCAAAGAGGCTATGGGTCTGGCCCTTGGCCCCGTGCTGGGTCACAGCAAAAGCAGGGAGAGCCCAGGTTTGGACAGGAGGCCATCTGGAAGACTGGAAGTGTGTCCCCCATAGTAAATTGTGGCCCTCCACCCTTGGGGCAGGGGACTCCTGCTGCTCTGTTCCCTTCGTCGTCCCCCCCACCCCACCCTGTCTGTGGTCACTCACCTGGGAACTCAGGTGTGGGTGCTGGGGGCGGACGCAGGTGCTGGGAGCCAGGCACTGCCTCTTTCTTCCGGCCTGCCGCCACCTCTCCTCTCCTCAGACGCTTCTTTGGTGACCCAGGGCTGCTCCCTGGATGCCTCTCCTCTGGGCCAGCAGCTCAATCAGCTGCTATCTGGGCTCCGGCTTTTTTGTTGGTGTCCAGGAGATCCGAGTGTCAAATTACACAGGGCGGCCACTGTGGGGGCTGGTGCCAGTGCCACTGCTGCCTGGGTGCAGGCCAGGAACCCTGCTGGGAGCTCGTCCTGCCCCAGGAGGTCTGCAGGAATGCACCCAGCTCCCTCTCGGCTGGTTCCTCCTCTTCCTCTCCCTCCTGGTGGGTGTGTGCTAGACCACGTGGGCTGGGCCTGGGCCGGGAGCTGATGAAAGGGGTGGTTGGCTTTCTGTTCCCTGGCAAAGATGACCCCAGGAAGGTTGCGGCTGAGGTGTGGAGTGGGGAGGGAGGGGGCCCCCACAGCACACCCAGCCCCTTGGCTCCTGCCCTGGCCTTAGGAGGGCCTTTTGGCTAGCACCCCCACCACCCCAACCTGCATATCAGGCAGCCTCCTGGCTAGTCCCTCCCTCTGGCCTCAGAGAAAAAAAGTAAACAGTGGGGGAAGGGGCCAGACCACCCAAGAAGCCAGGCCCCTGGGAGGTATCTTGGAGAAGTTGGGTGTCCCGAGTAATTGGGAGTGGCCCCTGCCTGGCCTGCTCGCCGGGCATGTTGCTCTAGCTCCCCGGGCCTGGAGGAGCTCTGCGGGTCTCCTGGGCCGTTGCTGCTGGGCATGGGCTCCGGAGCGCAGTGGCTGGCCGTGCCCTCTGACATTCGGCTGGGTGTGCCGCCACAACCACCGCAGCCGTGCAGCCTGTGCCTGGGGCAGGGCAGGAGCGGACCCCGGCCTGCATCTTCAAGCTGTCAATGGAGCCCTTTGAGTGTGAGCACAGAACCCCAGTGAGTCAGGGCCTGGAGAGGGTGGGGTAGGAAGCCAACCTTGTGGCCACACCACTTGGATGCCAGGGCCTCCCAGAGGCGGCACCAGAGGCCACTGTGCAGAGGGACAGACTGGTGACAGAAGGCGGTACACATTGGTTTTAGGAGCTGGCGCGACAGCACCCTCTGGTGGCTGCCTGGCCATCTTGGGCTGTTCACCTTGCATTCTCCACTCAGCTAACAGGCAGCCGGACCGGCTTCTGGGCGCTGGGTAACAATCGGCTCTTGTTCCTGGAGCCTGCTCCTCAGGCATCAGCTGCTTAGAGGGCTTCTTGCACCAGCTATTCTTGTCACTAGCGTGGCACCTGGACAGTTCTGCTCTCCACCATCACCACATTCCTGCGGCTGGACTGGCCATTTGTAAGGGATTTGATAGAGCTGTGGTCCCTCCCAGGGCTGCTGCCTCTACCCCAAGGACTGACTTTGCCCTCAGCCTGGGGAATCAGAGTAGAGACAGCTGGAAGCCGGCGCCCTGGGGGACTGCAACCCTGGAAGGCGCTGCAAGGTGGGCTCTGCTGAGGCTGCTGCTCCTCGCTGCCTCACAGGGACTGGTGTGCAGTGCAGCACACAAAGCCACTGGGTTCCTGTCCTGGGGCAGAACCCTGGCCTGGGACTGTGAACATGGGGCCAGGCAGAGGCTCACAGAGGACAGCAAGGAAGAGGTCACTAAGAGACAAGCAAAGCTGAGCCAGGGTGGGGCTACCTCCTGCCATTCCCTCACTGCAGAAAAGTGACAGGTAGCAACAGTGAGCCCTTGCTGGGCTCCAGGTGCTGGGCTCCAGGTGCTGGGGGAAGGGCTTCAGAGCGTTGTCTCCGCAGCCCTGACGCACTCTCTCTGCACCATTCACAGGTCTCGGGTGAGTGTGTGGGCTTAGTGTTGTGCTTCGCTCGGCGAGGTCCGATGCTTTCACCAGGGCTGCAGCCTCAACTGCAGAGCCAGCCGGTGCCCCTCCCAGGGCCCCCTCTGCCAGAGGACGGAGGGGAGGCAGGGTCCAGGCCCCCAGGAGCGATGATCCACAGAGAGAGAAGCAAGACAGAAGCAGGGCCACACTGTGGCTCCTCTGGGTTTCCACGTGCCGCATGGCCGTGGGAAAGCGCCCTTACCTCTCCTTCCTCATCTGTAAAATGACTGCCAGGCCCCTGTGAGAGGAGGAGTGTGGCCCCCAGCACGGTCCATATCTGGCTTCTCACCCCTGCCCTGCTGCCTGCTCCAGGTGTCGCCATGCTGCCATTGCCAAGTACTTCGGGGATGCGCTCCCTGCCTGCACCAAAGGCTGCGACCACTGCCAGAATCCCGCAGCTGTGCGAAAGCAGCTGGACACCTTGGAGCATGCGAGCAGCTGGAGCAAGACCTGCATCCGGCCCTCCCAGGAGAACGGCTTCGACCCCGAGCTGTACGAGGGAGGCCGCAGAGGCTACGGGGGCTTCAGCAGGTGAGGGGCAGTGAGTTCAGGGGCCCCGGGTCTCTGGGCGGGCAGGCACTGGCTCCTCGCTAGGAATAGTCTTGCATTCTCTCCCTGGTGCCAAGGCCAGACCAGACACGACACCATGCCACAGTCCGTCCCCTTGCACCACGGGCCGTGCCAGGGCTGGGACCTCAGTACTGCCCAAGTTGCCAGGACATCCGGGACATTGCTGCCCCTCCAGAGGTGTGGAGGGGAGGCAGAGCCCAGGCCAGGGCTGCTCACACCCAGCCTGTCCCCTAGGTATGATGAAGGTTCTGGAGGCAGCGGGGACGAGGGCAGAGATGAGGCCCACAAGCGGGAATGGAACCTCTTCTACCAGAAGCAGATGAGTCTGCGCAAGGTGAAGGGGGTGGGCTCTGCAGGGTCCCAGGTGGCCTCCACTCACACCCTCTCGAGCCCTTCCCTGGTGCGGAACTGGGTGCCCTGCCCTTCAGTGGGCAGGGTGCCTCACAAGCCCTTCCTGTCCTCTTCCAGGGTAAAGACCCCAAGAGAGAAGAATTTGTACCCCCAGGTCAGTACAGAAATGCCCCCAGGGGCTTGGCGGTGGTTTCCTGGGAATGGATGGAGGGTGCCTCCTTGGGGGGCTGGAGGCTCCAGAGTGCAGAAAGTTGCATGGAAGAACCTACGCCTTCTCCCCACAGATGAGGATTGTCCCCTAAAAGAGGCTTCTAGCAGGAAGATCCCCAGGCTCACTGTAAAGGTACGGAGGTGGCGGCTCCCCTACCCCACCCCCCCAGCTTCTGGGGGCTCATGTGACCACCTTCCTTCCTGGTGCAGGCCCGTGAGCACTGCCTGGGGCTCCTGGAGGAGGCTCTGAGCAGTAACTGCCAGGCCGCAGGTGCCTCTGACAGGTGAGTGCCTCAGACCAGGCTGCTGGGGAGGGCTCTCCAAGTCCTGTTCCTTGGGCAGCTGTGGGAACCCGGGCTTGTTTGGGAGCCCCCTCCATTGTAGCCCATCCTACGCCCTGCGGATGCAGGTCCCTATGGCCCACCAGGGGGCAGGCTTGGCCACAGCCGAGGGGCTGGAGGTTGCCCAAAACGTCCAGGTTGGAATCCCCATACCCGGGGCCATTCCTCCCAGGCCCTGAACCTTCTCCGGGGCCCCGAGGAGAATCCAGCAGGGAGAGGGCTCAGGCCGGCCTGACAGCTCACACCCACCCCCTCAGACCTGCCCTCCAGGCCACGGCTGTGGAGATGGAACACGAGATGTTCCGAAACGCCAAGGCAGTCAACCTGTACAAGGCCAGCGTGCTGAAGAAGGTGGGCCGGGCGGGGGCAGGCGGGGCATGCTCTTGGCTAGGGTGGGAGAGGCCGCCCCTCCGCACTCCCAGGCTGCCCACCCTCTGGCCCCAGGCAGCTGAGAATCCACCCCTAACCCAAGAGACCACTTACTCCGAGGGAGCCCGACTCCCCTCTGCCAGCTGGAGGTATTTCGAGTCCACCCGTGAGGACTGGGACTCATCCAGCGTCCAGCTGCCCAGAGCCATGGGCCCCGGAGCCCGCTGGTGGAAAGCCTGGGGTGGGGGCTGTCAGGAGCTGCTGGGTGCCGTAGCAGCCCGCTTGTCCCCACCCCAGGTGGCCGAGATCCACCGAGCCTCCAAGGACGGGCAGCTCTACCTCGAGGCAGGTGGCGCCCAGAGCCGCAGTGTCCAGGCCGAGCCCCCGGAGCCCTCTGAGCATGACATCTTGCCAGCCTCCCAGGTGTACTCGGTAAGCGGTGTCCCGGCGTCCGCCCCAAACATGGTCTGGGAAGGGCACCACATCCCCTGGCCCCCGGCCCCTGGCCAGGGCAGGTCCTCGAGCTTCTCTGCCCTGCCCACTGTGCCCCTCTGGCCCTGCAGCTCTTCTCCCACCAGCCTGACCCTGCAAGGGCGTTGTGCCTGTCCTTTCGCTGCCCCACTGCTGAGAGGCCCACCAACACAGCCCTCCTCGGTCTGGCCAGGAGTGTCCTCAAGGGGACCTGGTGGTCAGAACCCTCTCTCCCCTGCTCACAGCTCAAACCCAAGCGTGTGGGAGCTGGTTTCCCCAAAGGCTCCTTCCCATTCCAAACGGCCACAGAGATGATGGAGAAGATGCGGGCCGAGGCACAAGCCCCCTGGCCTGTGCAGGAGCCCCCGAGCCAGCCCCATGGCCTCCAGAATGAGGAAAGCAGTGAGGCCGTCCCTGGGCTCAGAGGAGAGGCCCCTGGAAGCAGCACTCGTTGTGGGGGGCCCTCCCCTGAGAAGAAGGTGAGAGGCCCCTCCAGGGGCAGTTCCCTTGCCCAGGTCCGCACCAGCAGGAAGCAGCAGCTCCTGGCCGCTGCGGCGCTGAGGGATTCTCAGAACATCGCCCGCTTCTTCTGCCAAAGGGCCGAGAGCCCCCCTCTACTCGCTTCAGCCCCAGGGGCAGAAGGCGCCGGCGCTTCCTGTGATGGGTTGCAGGGAGCCCTGGCTGTGGCCCCAGTGCAGTGCTCCGGGGAGGAGGATGGGGCGCCGGGATGCTTGGCTGCCCCTCCACAGACAGAGGGGTGCACCAAAAAGGGAACAAGGTAAGGGCACAGGTAGCCCTCTAATCCTCTAGAATCTCCCTCACTGCCTGGGCCTCTGTAGCTCGGGGCCCTTCCTTCAGGGGCTGCCTGGGCTGAGGGTGCAGCTGGCACCTGGAGTTCTGACACCTGCTCCCTCCTCGGCCAGTGCCTGCCCGCCCAGAGACCCAGGGACCCCTGGAGGCCAATCTACCCCTGCAGTGGAGACACAGAGGGGCAAGCGGCCTGGGCCCCTGCAGGTACCGACGGGCACCGGTGGGAGGAAGGAGACTTGCGGGCTGGGCCCCTGTCTGCTCTGCTCTGGGTTAGGGGCTTGGGGCAAGTCATCTTTCCATGGGAACAGGATGTCTGGGCTGGAGGGAGCCCACAGGTGCTGTGGCTCAGTCTTCCAGAGGAAGGGGGGACAGTGACAGGGAGCCCCAGGGTGACCCTCCACTGTGGCCTTGCGCAGGACAACAACCCAGAGAGCCAGGCCCAGAAGAGGCCCCGCCCTTCAGCCAATGGCTCCATCTTAGCTAAGGCCAAGGACAACACCTCGGCTGGTGACCAGAGCCCTGCAGAGCCCACAGCCCACGGCTCCTGCCAGCTCCCTCCTCCCGGCATCTCCCTGAAGGTGGCTGCAAGCGTTGTGGTCAAGTGCCTGACCCCTTTCTACAAAGAGGGCAAGTTTGCATCTAAGGTAGGTGGCGGGGAAGGTCTCTGCTCACCCTCCCCCGGGACACCTGGGTGCAGGGGCGGGAGGGCGGGCAGTGTGAGCCACAGGGGAAACAGGCTGCAGCGAGGCCAGCCGCCCCCACCCTGGGTCTGCCTTGCCCTTTGGTCATGGCTGCGGCTGCTCGGGCGGCAGAGCAGGGGCCTGGGCTGTCTGCTCCTCTTCGCCCTCCGCCTTCAGGAATTGTTCAAAGGCTTCGCCCGCCACCTCTCGCACTCGCTGGCTCAGCGGTCCTCTCTGGGAGGGAACGGTGAGTGCCTGCAGCACCGGGCGGGGGGCACGTGGGAGCTCTGCAAGGAGGAGACTGGCCCTCACGCCCCCCCATTCCGGATCTGCAGTGAAGGAAGAGGCCCAGCACCTCATCAAGCAATTTTTCCACGGCCGGGCCCGCTGCGAGAGTGAGGCTGACTGGAATAGTCCGTGTGACCCACAGACGTGACCAGCTGCGGCCCAGCAGGACCAGGTCCTCCCTGGACTCGCCCATAGGCCACCCTGGCTGGGCCTCACTCGGGAATGGACACAGTGGACAGGCTGCCGCCAGCAGCATCTCTTTCCTCAGGGTCCTCCCCCTTCCAGCCACTCCTTGCCGAGGAGATGGCCCAGACTCCTCCCAAATCAAGGTCAGCAGCTGGAGATCAGCCCCCCTTCTCGCTACTTGCAAGGCCTGAGGCCCTCTTTTTCCCAGCCTCTCCTGGCCCTCGTGGCTGTCTTCTGGGTCCCCAGGGTGCGGGTGGTGTTGCTGCTGCCTCGGAGAGCAGGAAGGAGAAAGGGCCCTTCTACCTGCTGTACTTAAGCTGTAAGCCAGGGCTGAGGTCCACCTGTGCGAGGCATTGGCGCCCCCTCGGGAGGAGCCCCGCTGGCCCCGGGTGCAGGCCCTGCTCCCGCTCAGGTCCGGGCCAGGAAGGCTGGGCTGGACCAAGACGTTTGCCAGAGAAATAAAGTCCTGTTTGCTGTGACACACTCATGCTCACACAGCCCTTTTCTCTCGGGAGTTTTATTTCCTCCGTAGCTGCTTCGCCCGGGTCTGTGCTCTTGCTGGTGTGGGTGTCTCCCCCAGCCTGGGCGACGTCATGCCCAAGCCAAGTTCCTACAGCCCCTGATGTGCCCCCAAGAAGGAGTCCTGCCACTCTTCTCTTCCAGTTGAGGTCACTGTAGCAGCCCCTAACTTATGGCCTCCATGTGGGCCAGCCAGGCTGTGCTGGACAGACGCTGTGCTGTGCAGAACAGCTGAGCCATGACGACCAAATCAAGAGACCCAACAGCACTCGAGGGAGTGCGTCCGGATGCGTTGTGGTCCGGGGAGGGGCCCCCTTCTCTCCACCCCTGGGCCCCTCCTCTTGGCGGAGGCTGGCCACTAAAGGGGCTTGGTGCCGCTGTCCCGCAGGTAGGAGATGGTGTGCTTCAGCTCCTGGGCCTGCGGGACACCAGTGAGTGAGGGCGGGGTTCCACGGCCAGCCCCCACCTCTGCCACGCTTCTGGCACCCTTGAGTGGTGGGTATCAGCCCAGGCTCTGGCAAGCCAGGCCTGGGTGAGGCGCTCGCCAGCTTCCTAGGGTGGTCAGGGGCCCTGGCCACTCACCTGCGGCAGCTCAAACCAGATGGTCTGGGGGCTGTCGGCGGAGCCGTAGTTGAGTTCCAGGCCAGGGAGCCCCTCTTCGTCCAGGGGGCTCAGCAGGTGGAGCTGACGCAGGTCCCTCAGGGCGATGGAGCAGCGCGGTGTCTGGGTACGGGGGAGATGCAGAGCTCGGCCCTCCCAGGGAAGGGCTTGGTGGAGCTGGGGGGCGGGGAGGAGTGGCGAGGGAGCCTGGCCTACCTGGGAGCTGAGATCCATGAGGGTGAGGCGCTGGCGGTTCAGCCCCAGGAGGCTGAGCCCAGGCAGGGTCTGCTGGCTCACACGCAGCACCACGTAGACGGTGCAGCCGAAGAGGGGCAGCTGGCTCACGCCCTCTGGGGAGGTGGGGGAGGGGCACATATGGTGGCAGTTCTGGCCAGTGGGGCTCAGTGACCTGCCCTAGTTGGCCCCTAGGTCAGGTGAGGGGGACGGAAGGTAGAGGAGCTTCCTCAGCCCCCTCAGCCCCCTCTGCCCTCATCCCTTCCCTGGGGAGCCTCCTAACGCCTTTCTCCTCCCCAGCAGCCCCTGCACCCCAGACCCACCGATGAAGCCGATCTTTGCTTCATGGGAGCTGCACCCCTGCAGCTGCCTCAGCTCCCGAGCCATCAGGCTCCCTATGGTGGCCGCATCCACCTGGCCTCTCAGCGGCTTCGGCAAGTAAGCCCACAGGTCTTGTCTAGGACACAGCCAGGGCAGTCAAGGCTGGGCATATGGCGGGTGGTGAGTGAGCAGACCGGTGGCTGCTGCCGGTGGGACTGAGGACCCGGCACACAGGTGGGTGTCCCTGCCCTCAAGCTCGGGGTGGGGAGGACAGGCGTCCACAGCCTCCCCGGTTCCGGGCCCACCTGGTTAGGGCCAAGAAGAGTAGGGGCCGAGTGGCCCTGACCTTGGACTGTGGGCTGAAGGACGGCCCCTGGGGTGGGAGCGGAGGAGTGACAGGAGGCAGGGGCAGCGCTCACACTCACTGTGACGGGGGTGCCGCATGGGCCCTGCTGAGGTGCTGCAGGGCAGCCAGCCTGGCAACTTGGGCGTCGGCCTGGGTGCTGACCAGCAGCTTCCCCTGCAGGTAGTCCCGCTGCACCTGCAGGCAGAGCAGTGACGGGCAGCTGTCACTAAAGTCCCCAGTTCCTGCCTCCGTCCCTTTTCCTTGCGGGGAGGGAAGCTTGGAGGTCTCCCACGCAGACAGCGATGAGCTGGTGCTCGAGCGCCAGCGGCACAGCGGGCCAGGGCTGGGTGGGGCTGACCTACCTGGCTGTAGTGGGTGCTGATGTAGGTGGGGTTTTCGAAGTGCAGGGGTGTCTCCCAGCTGAGCCGCCGGCTGTGTAGGCTGGCGTCCTGGCCCCCCACCGCGTTGTTGAGGTACTCGTGAGGCCACAGGGGCCGCACCAGCTTGCCTGCAAGGGGCGCCCGGTTTGCAGTCTGCCCTGCCATTCCGGGCCAGCCCTCTGCAGCCCTGCCAGCCCCAGCGTGGGAACGGCCCACCCACAGGCACAAGGATGACCCGGCCTGGCGCCCTTCTGCCACACCGAGGAGCTTACCTTCCCCTTTGATGAGGAAGAGGGCAAATTCCTGCACCTCCTTGGGGTCTGTGATGCCCATCTGCCCGCACATCTCCTCCAGCACCTCTGCCGCCACCTGGGCACGTGGGCAGGGCCATGACGGCGGGGACTAAGGGGCCCAGAACCGATGCCACGGCCTCCCTGCCTGTCCCTAGCCCCTCTTGGGGGGCCCCGTGCTCACAGTGAAAGTTGAAATGTTGGTCTTGTAACTCAGGCCTCCAGGCAGTTGAATTAGAAGCAGGCGGTCCATGTTCCCTTTCTGCCAAGGCAGGGGGCTGGGTCAGTCCACCCTGGACAGAGGCCCCAGCTCCCCACTCCCGCGGGAGACCCAGAACGCCCAGCCATCCACACCCCCGGTACCAGGATAGCCTGCATTTCGCCCGGGGACGGCAGCTGCTGGCGCCCGCCGTATTTGACTGTGTGCTGGAGGTGCTCCTGGCTGCTCCGGGCCAGCTCTGCAGAGAGGAGCCCGGCTGGTGGTGACAGGCTCCTCCAAACCTCTCCCTAAGCAGCCGAGCCCCAGCCTGGAAGCCCCTCCCATAAGCACCTTGAGTCTTGCCTAAGTCCTGCACAAATTTGGTCACGTAGGGCAGCAGCGTGGTTGATGGGGGGAAGAAGCCAGCGAGGAGGCTGAGGAGTCTCCAGCCTCGAGCACAGAGGTCCCTGCAGGGCAGAGGGCCTGGGCTCAGGCTGCCAGGCCATGGCTGTAGGCTGCCCACCACCCTGCCCAGCAGTCCCCCACCCCCCGACACTCACGGCTGGGGGTGTCCTGTGACCTGCTTGATGACCTGGCAGTAGATCTCATCCCTGAGGTTCTTCTCCTGGCACAGCTATGGGGACAGAAAGGGCAGCTGGCCGGGGAGGGGCTTCAGGGGCAGGCAGAGTGCGGTGGGGCGTGGGATGGTGTGAGGTCAGACGTTAGGGACAGAGCGCGCCTGTTAATGGCTGCGGGCTTGGGGGCTGTGTCAGGGTGACAGCTCGGTGGTCACCTCTGTCTCTATCCCAGCATGACAAATGTCTGCACAGCCAGTCACTCTAAATCGCTGTCTTCAGCCCTGACCGGTGGGGCGAGCACCAGCCCGTAAACTGAAAGGTCACTGGCATGAGTCCTGCTCGGGGCACATGCCCAGGCTGCAGGCAACCCATCCGTGTTTCTCCCGCCCTTCCCTTAGCTCTGAAAGTAAATAAAATCTTTTTAAAAAATCAATAAATCACTGTCTTCACCTGTTTCCTTGACCTCTAAGGGCCACCCTGCCCTGGGACCTCTGTCCCTACTGGCTCCTTGGCCACCTCATCTGCCATGCCTGTGTCCAGCCGAGACTCCTCCCTGGGACACCAGGCCCGTCCCTTGGAAGGCGGTCCAGACTGGCACCGCCTCGGGTTTCCTTAGCGAAGGGGACTGCTGTTCTGAGTGCCCCCCCCGTCCTCTGCTGCCAGGGCCAGCACTGCCTGTCATGGGGTGGGGGTCATTGCAATAACCTCTGTTGCCCTTGTGTCCCCAGGATAGCTAGGGGGTCCCCGGCAAACATAAGCCACATCTCTCAAAAATCCTCCAGTGGTTTTCTACCTTATCAAAAAAATTGAATGGCCCACAAGGCCTGCCAGGACCTGGACCCACTGTCCCCCCCCCGGGCCACATCCTCCTCTCCCCCTGCTCACTGGGCTGCAGCCACGCGGGCCTCGCTGGTGCTGAGTCTCACCCTCTCATCTGGACGGTCCACTCGTGCTGCCCCAGAGGCTTCCTCCAGCTGCCTGCTTCCCTGGCGTCCCGTCACCCAGCCTTCTGCACTGTGGTGGCCCCTCCCCTGCCTTCCCTGCAGCATTTCCCACTCATCGGCGCAGGCACCGTGGTTTGCTGACCATCTTCACCCACTGGATTGTAAGCTCTTGGGGACTGAGCCTGCCTGGCTCACTGCCGTGCCCCCAGCATATAGTAGGTGCTCAATAAGTACTTGTGGCTGATTCTGATGAATCATGACCAAGGGAAGGGGGGTTCCTATTAGGACAGGAATTCATCCTCGGGGTTCCCGGTGTCCCCCGCCAGCTTCCAGTGCACAACTCCTGCTTACCTTCAGTAGCACGTAGAGGAGCTCCATCTCGTCCTTGCCCCGGGGTTTGGGCTGGTCCCCCATAAACTGCATCAGAACTACAGGCAGGATGAGAAGCATGGGGAGCCGGGCTGGGGGCCTGGCCCTGGCTCATGCTGTCTCCGAACAGAGCTTTCCCCAGCCACCCGATGCCCGGCTCTCGGAATGTGTGCTGGCCACGCAGAGCGGCAGACCCAGCTTTTCCAGCCGGCAAGCAAGGCTCAGGAGCTTCTGTGAGCTTCTGCAGGTCCACACGGCACATGGGGCTGGACCCGGTGTTGCGTTCCAGCCCAGACCCCACACACCCTGTGGCCCCTTGGGTGGGAATAGAAGTGAGTGAAGGCCGTGGGGTTATAGGACCTACCTGTGAGCTACTCTGAGTTGGCAAACTTGAGAGAAGGCACCCAGATGCCTGTGGAGCCCGAGGCACCACAGACACGGGACCAGGGACAGCCACTCACCCTGGAAGCTTTCCACGGCATGCCTGCTCATGCCCTCGTCACTGAGGCTGATGAGTGATTCCTGGATGGGATCCTGGAGCCAGAGAGGCTGGGCTGTGGGTCTGGGGGCCATGGGGGCTAGAGGGCAGGTCTGCTGGCCCGACTTCCCCCACCTGTCTCCCTACCTTGGAGTACTGCACCAGGCTGGCCATGGCTTTCGCCTTAGCATCCCTGTCAGTCTGGTCCAGCCTAGTGGGGCAGAGAGGAGCACAGTCTT